CACAGCATCTTGTTTTCCTGATTCACAAAGTGAATCAGACACCAGGGTTTCTGGAATACTGACTCCAAAGGAATTCTTGAGTGGAATCAGTGTTTAGGGGATTTAGAATCAGATATGGGTCTTTCATCTGTGTGTGTGTGTATTTGGAATATTGAATATATATTTATTAATCTTGAAATTGAGTATTAGCTGATTAAAAATTACTTGATATATATATATAAAATTACTTGATATATCAGTACACACATATTTAAAATTTGTTTTAGAAAAGATTTTTTTATTTGTTTAAAAAAGTTGTAGAGAGAGAAGAGAGAGAGCAGGGAGAGAGCACGGGAGATATCTTTTATCTGCTAGTTTATTCCCGACATGGCTGCAACAGTCAGGGCTGGGCGAGGAGCCAGGAGCTAGGCATTGCATCTGGGTTTCCCATGTGGGTACAGGGGCCTAAGCACTTGAGCCATCTTCTGCCACTTTCCCAGGCACATTAGCAGGAAACTGGATGGGAAATGGAGTAGTGAGGACTCAAATCAATACCTATGGGATTTGGGTGCAGGTGGCTGGCAGGTGGCGATTTAGCTCACTGTACCACAATGTTGGCTTCTATTTTCTTTAACAATTTACATTTACTTGAGAGGCATCAGTGTGCTCCTGTCTGCTGTTTCACTCCCTCAAATGCTATAATAGTGGGGGCAGGGCCAAGCAGAAGTGGGGAGTCTGGAACCTAACCCAGATGTCCCACTTGAGTGGTGTGGACCCAGGTGCTTGAGCTGTCATCTCATGGTCAGCAGGATCAGAAAGCTGGACCCAGAAGCAGGGCAGTTGGGACTTGAACTCGGCATTCCAATATGGTAGGCAAGCATCTCCCAGGCATTCTAGCTGATAGATCAAACATTTGCCCTTCATTTCACAAACTTTATTCCCACTGCTACAATTTCTGTTTTATAGAATGTATATTACATAGTCACAAACCTTCAAAAGCTTCATAGGAATATGTGTATTACGAGAAAATGATGCATGGAGCAGCTGGCATTCGAACCAGTTCTCATATGGCCACTAGGCTCTCCTGCTGGGTCCCCAAAACAACTTTTTATTCCATTTTTTACACAACTTTTGAATGTACCCTTATGTGTGCACATGTAAGCAGGAGTGTACATATTTTATGTAGTTTTACCCGGCTAAAAAGCAGCTTGAGTATGCCAGGTCTTAAACCTCCTGTGGAGGCAGTGAGCCAGTGGCAGGATGGGGGAAGGACAGGATGTGCCTTGAGTTGAGCCGGAGCCAAAGGGAGGCCTTATCTCCAGGTGCTTGGTAGGAGGAACTGTGGCCCTCTAGGCAATATGTGATAGCTGGAGAGCAGTGAGCAAACAACAGGTGGTGGTGCAGGAAAGCAACCAGCATCATCAGATTGTCCTCCTGGGGAGCAGGGCTGCAGAGACTGCACAGAGAGCTGGGGGCAACCGAGGGTCCCCATACGCAGTGCTCAGCAGAATCTGTGCTGCAGGGCTTGAGCTGAGGCCTGCCAACAGGCAGGTCAGCAGCCCAGGCTTTTCCTGAGAAAAAGGCCAGCAGTTCTGGGTTCCAGATCAGGATTTCTCAAGTTACCAGCAAAGGCAGAAGGAAGCTGACTGTTGGGCTAAGGACATAAGCTCTGGGAATTCTTCCTGTTCCAGGGGGAGGACAGAAGTTGTACAGAAGGTCAGGCAAAAGGGGAACACAGAGACCCTGGACTGGGTAGGACCAAAGGACCTTGTGGCCATAGCCTCATAAACCATGTGCTTTAAAGCAAAGAGGAATGCAAATGGAGTAAGGGAGAGGCTGATGTTGTGGCACCGTGAGCTAGCTTTTGCCTACAGAGCCACTGTCCCATGACATCAATGGATTGCTCATTGGAGTCCCGGCTGCTACACCTGCTAACGCACCTGAGAAAGCCACGGAAGACGTCCCTGTACTCGGGTCCCTGCACTCCTAATGGGAGCCCAGATGGAGTTCTAGCCTCCTGGGCTTCAGCTTGCACCAGCCCTGGCTCTTGTGGTCACTTGAGGGAGTGAATTAGCACATGAAAGAATCTTTCTCTTCATCACTCCACCCTTCAAAATAAAATAAGTAAATCTTCACCTAAATGGGGTAAGGGAGAAGGAGGGAGTTGTTTATAAGTAAAAATAGGGAAAGAAAACATCATGCCATGACAAAAGAACAAACTCTGCTTTACATTTTTTTTTGTTTGCTTTGTGTACTGAAGTATACTCATGCATTTGTCTTTTGGTTAAACACAGCTTCTGATTTGGCTGGGTTGCTCAAAACCATCATGGGCTATCATTAGCCAATAAAATGATGCAGTCGTGTTCAGGTTGAAAAACAAAGGTGTTTCCTGCACTGTCCACAACACTTTATCTTTTCATCCTTGGAGTTGAACACCTGGAGAGTCAGTGCACCAAGGGCTGTCCCTTCTCACTGAGCGCTAACTTATCTCCACATGCACCCAGACTCAGGGCTGCCTTGTGCCTCATAAAATCTTTACAACAGGAAAATGACTTTGGACGGATTAACTCGGATTAATCCACTGAACTTGGATCCCTAAAGGCAGAAGTCCCCATGTCGCGCAAACTGATGTCACCCACAGCTTCCATGGCCAGCCTGCACCCTCTGCAACCTGGTCATGGTGCCCTGAGACCCCAGAGAGTTCTGAAGAGCTTGGAGGAGAGGTCCTGTTCACTGCTCGCCTGTCTCCCAACTGCCTGCTAGTGGACTGAGGAACTGAGAGGCTGTTCAAGGGAAAGAAGATGCAGGGAAGAAGATAGGATAGGCTGTGATGGAGGTGTTAATTGGGGGGTAGGAGACAGTGTGCTGGAGGAGCCGGGAACTTTGAGGATGAACAACATGGCTGCCTGACTTGGGTCTGCCATAACTCCCTGGTGTGGAACCTGTTCCTCACACTCCTGCCACAGAGGAAAAGCTCCATTTCCAGCCTTTTAGATGAACCTACTTTGAGGAAGCCATCGGAGCATGTTCAAGTCGGACCTGCTGCCTTTGAGTGTGGGGGCCAGACAGTACGTGGCCCACACGCCTCCCTGGGCTTCCCGGCTGCTGTGTTCATTTAGTGGGCAAACTGGAGAAACAGGTTGGCATGCACACACATGCCAGACCAGAGAACCCCAGACCTGCTTGGTTGTGTGAGAGGAGTTAGACTGGGTAGTAGGCAGTTAGGGTATTCTGGGTCCCCAAGTCATTTTTTTCTCAAATATAAAAGGGAATTTCCCCACCAGGTCTTGGATTCACCAGAGCACGTCTCGCAACACAAGTGCACATCTTAACTTATCAGGAACATACTTCTCCACCTGAAGGATCAGCCCCATTCTGTCTCCTGGCCAATGCCAAGAGGCAGGCTTCACACTGGCCTCTTTATCATTAGAAAGGGACCAAGGAAGTTGGCCAGTGACACCTTTCTGGCCTTTTGTCCCAGGGCCAGGTACCATGGAAACCAGGAATTTTCTTTGTTTATGGAGTTTAACATCTTTGAAGTAAACCTTTAAAAGATGCTTTCCCCACCATTAATACAGGTTTTTTTCTTCCTTTTCCTCCTGCCACTACGGCAGAGGACCAGGGTCTCTTTTTCCCACTTTTCCTCCTGGTACTACGGCAGGGGGTAAGGGTCCTTTCTATCTCAGAGCCCCCTTCCCTCACTAGGACAGGAGTCTCCCTTCTCATCTTTTCTATTAAATCTTGCTTTAAAACCAAACTGTCCGCACGAAATTCTTCTTTCCTGAGAGACAAGAATTGAGGTTGCTGCCCTATTCAGGGTCAGAAACCCTACAACAGTTGCAAGCAGGCAGGCTGTCTGCTGCGATAGGTTAGGGTTGCAGGTTAGGCACTGGCTGAGCCTTTTTTTTTTTTTTTTAATAAATATTTACTTATTTTTATTGGAAAGGCAATTTACAGAGAGAAGAGACAGAGAAGGATCTTGTGTCCGCTGGCTCACTCCCCAAGTGGCTGTTGTGGCCCATATGGGAAGTGAACCGGCGGATGGAAAATCTATCTTTCCATTTCTCTGTAAACTGCCTTTCCAAAAAAACAAATACATTAAAAAATTTTTCATATGCCCCCAATTTGCTCTTACTCCAGCGACATATAACAAGCCAGGCAACAACCATTTGGACATTTCACAAGTTTGGGGACCTTACAAGTTACAACCTGTGATTGTTGGGTATTTCATGGAGTTACGCTTAAAGACTGAACTAGGCCGTCAAAGACCATCCAAGGCCTATCATAGTTGGCGTGGGTCTCCCAGCCCACTGATAGACAACTCAGCAACACAACACACATACCATGGAGATCCTGGGCCAACCGGCTTCAGTGTCCTTGAGCACTAAGTTTCCTCTTTCCTTTGCAAATTTAAGAAGGCTGGTGTGCAGGATTGTAGAAAGAAAAGCACCAAATTGCAGTGGGTGTCAAGTAGCTCTGTCATTGCTCAGTAAGATGCTCTAAGCAGGACCTTCAAGCCCCACACAGCTAGAAGACATCAGAAAAGAGAACTGAAGCAAAATGAAAAAAGAATAAATGGCAAAATGTTGACAAACATTTATTATCCCAGGAATCTAAGGGAACACAATGGCTTTTCAGTATATCCCTCCTGCTCAGTGTGTAAACTCACACTGGCACAATTTTTTCCAACCCCCAACCACTTCTGGGGCCCTGTTTTAAAATATATTTCTAAAAAGGGATTTGTTAAAAAAAAAAAAAGTGCCTTTTGTAAAAGATACCCGACACGCTCATAGAAACATTTACCATGAAGGCCACATTTTGCTAAAAAGGGGTTTATGACTTTCTAAATACCAACCCGCAGCAAGAATGAGGGGAAACGGAAGAAAAAAGGGGTAGCGAACTATATTCTGATTTTCCACAAAGAGGGTGCTGGACTCCGGGGGTTGGGGGGCACCCGAGGTCACCCGAAAGAGCCCAAGGTGGGGACGAGGGCAGTATTTATAGCGCGCTGAGCTCAGTTCTCACCGGCTCCCGCCGCTGCTCCTTATCTTATGCCTTTGGAATTCGCGCGGCGCTCCGGGCCCCGGGCCCGCAGGAGGCTGCTTCACCCCGGGCCCCGGGAGCCGGCTCGCGGCGGCGGGCACCCGGCAGGCCGCGACGGCCACCTGGCCACGCTTTCCTTCTCGTGGCCGCGGCCGCTCACGAGCCCTTGGAGTGTGAGTGTCGGCGGGGGCAGCACGCTTAGGCCCCCGGGAAGACACGGCGTGTGTGTGCGTGTGTGTGTGTGTGTGTGTGTGTGTGTGTGTGTGTGCGCGCGCGCGAGCGCATGCCAGGGGGGAGCGCACAGCGCGCTCACCGTCGGGGACACCCCGCGCGCCGGCGTCTGGAGATGGCCTCGCCACGGCGGCGGCGGTAGGGCTGCAGCGTGAGGAGAGGCCCCCTCCCCACAGCAGTCCTTGGCGCCCCCTTGCCGGCGGCGGGCCCTCCTCCCCGGCAGCAGGGCGCCGGGATCTTCGGGTTCTTGGAGCCCTTCGGGCCCTTCCGCCGTGCGCTCGGCTTCTTTCGTGGCCGGGGCGGGGCCGGCGCCGGGGCGGGTGCGCGCGCGCGCCGCGCCGTCTCGAGCCGCGCGCCCCTCCCCCCCCCGGCCTCGCACCCACCTCCCCACCCCTCCCCCGCGTGCGAGTGGCGGCGGCGGCGGCGGCGGCGGCGGCGGCGGCGGCTGCCGAGATTGGAATCCGCCCGCCGGGCTCGGCGAAGGAGGCGGGAGGAGGGAAGGGAGGGCAGGAAGGTTCTGGGATCTTAGGGCCGCGCGAGGGGCGATCGGGGCCGGGGCCGCTTGCACGCCGCCGAGGGCGGAGGCCGAAGCGGGGCCCCCGCCGCGCCCACCCGCTCCGCGTCGAGGGCCGGAGGATGAGTTCCCCGGGGTCCGGGTGAGTTGGCTGGCGGGGAAGTGCGTGTGTGCGCGCCGCGGTGGTGGTGGTGGTGGTGGTGGTGGTGGGGAGGCCTGCGACGGCTGCGACGGGGAGGCTGGCGCGCGTCGCTCCAAGGGGAGCCGGGCGCACCGAGGCCCTGGCCGAGGGGGACGGCCCGACTGGGTCCCGTCCGGGTCAGGCCCGCGGCTCGCCGTTGGGCCCCGGGCCGCCCTCCGGAGAGCTCCCCTCACCAACAACGCCGGCCCGGCGTCCCGCCACCCAGGCTCCTCTTTTGTTTTGCCCTTGCTATCCCTCCCCGGGTCCGTAGGCCGAGTTGGGGAGGCGCTGTGGGCGCCGGGCGCTGGGGCGACGTTTTTGGGAATCCTTAAATGGAAAAGGCGTTCTGGGCTGGCCGGCCCGAGCGGCGAGTGGGGGCGTTCGCCGTGCGCCCCCGGGCCGACGGGGCCGAGTGAGGAGCCCCGGGCTGGCCTGGGCGTTGTGGTTCACCTGCCGCGGCGCGGCCTGCGCGGCCCTTGCTCTGCCGGTCCTGGAGAACTTTCTGCCCGGCCGCGGGCAGCCTGTTCTCTTCGTTCCTCACTCCCAGTGGACAGGTCTGGCGAGAAAATAGAGGGGAGGAAAAAACAAAACAAAACAAAAAACACCCCCCAAAAACCAGCCTGCGCCAGGGAAGAGAAAAGATAAGTCGTATGTGAGGGACAGGAGTCCTGTGCTCGCCTGTTCTACGGGCTTTTGTTTTTCCTCTGTTTTAAACGGTTAACAAACCGTTCCTTGTGTTGCGTCGTGTAATCCTCACGGTTCACCCTGGGTGTTATATATTCCTCTACTTTTTTTTGAGAGAGGAGATCACCGCGATGCGGAAGAAGGTGCAAGAACTTTGCCTTCAAGTGAGCCGGGATTTGAACCCAGGAACACCGGTGTCGGGCATGCGAGTTTCAGAATGACCACGCAGGCTTGGCCGCCGCGGACACTTCTTGGGTTGGGGGACCTGTTTGGGTTTTTCGTCTCTGCTGTGATGGCTGTCTGGCTGCTGGTGTGGGGCTCGACCCCCCCCCCCCCGGCCCCCTTTTTGTAAAGTGGGATTAAACTTGGAGTTGAAGCAGACTGTGACTTAATGTTTATGGTTGTGGACTTGTTGGAAGATTGCGGACTGGGATTATTTAGGTTTTGGGGAGTGTGGAGCTGAAAGAGGGGGCGGTTCTGTGACCTGGGAGTGGGTGGAGTTTAGGAAGAAGGATTGAAATTTAGAACGAATTTGTAATAGGTCCAGTGCCTTTTTTTTTTTTTTTTTTACCCCTTCACATTCTGCACGGAGCCCTTCTCCTTTTCCACTGTACTTCACGTCAGCTTTTGCTGAAACATCCGGACTCCTTTGGCTGAATTCTTGTGTCAGCTGCTGTCTCAGAGAGGAGTCTTTTTCTTCTTCTTTTTTTTTTGTCCTTAACTGTAACATTTTGTGTCGTCTTTGCCTAATTTTCCAGGCTAATGGAGCATGAGTTATTCGCTGTCCTCAAAGTACAAGTGTACTGAAGACTCCTTCAGTGTCAGGACCACCTCTCTCCAATTTTTTGCTCAGTTTTTGTTTTTTTCCCCCTCAAGCTTTTTTGCTGCCTTTCCTTTTTGGATCACCCACTGAGGTTTTTAAAAACATTTGTCCTTATGTGTGAGGAGTCAGGATAGGAGGCAGCTAGGGTTTTCCAGGTCCCTGAGTTATTTTTCTCTCCCCCTGTGTCTCAATTTTATCAGAGCACATCTCCCCAAGACACTGGGGCAGAATTAACATAGCAGCTAAGACGGCCCACCTAATGCCATGTCCGGGCCACCGTCATGGAGCGGTCAGTTAGAAAGGGACGAGGAAGTTAGGAACAGAGAAACTTCTTTGTTTTCGGAGAGTCTCCTTTGAAATGGAGTTTTAAAAGGTACATGCTCCCCTGCGTGCATGGGTCTTTCCTACCTTGGAGCTCCCTCTGGCCACTGGGGCAGAAGCCACTTCCCTCTTTTCTTTGAATAAACCTTGCTTTAAAGCTGGAGTTTGCACGAAAATTCTTCCCTGTGAGACGAGGATCGAGGTTGCTGTCATGTTTTTGCGTCCAGCGTCCTACAACACTTCTGTGAAAGTCACGCATGAGCATTAGGGAAAAATGGCCCAATAGAGTAAAACTCAGTTCAAGCTGGCTCTGTCCTGGCTAATGCCATCTCTGCAGGGTGCCAGGAGTGGTGGCCAGACCTGGACTTACTCCTTGTGAGTCTCCTCGCTCCGGAGCAGCTGTGCCCCATCTGTACATTTCAGGGCCTCTTCTGGTCCACTCCTGACCTGCTGTCACGTTTGGGGTGGCGGTGCACTGGATTTCTGGTCATGTTTGTCCTTGGCTTGGAAGCTTTTTGACACACGTGGCAGGGCAAACAGGAACAACAAGAAAGAGGGTGTCTGCCCTTCCGGACCTTGAATATCCACTAGGGAGGCATCGGTGGAGGGGTGACTTCTGAAGCTAGGTAGAGTTGGGATTCTTTCAGAAGTTCAGAGTGTTCAGGAGCCTCAGACAGGCACCTGACCTTGTGCTGCTGGTAGTACTGGCAGAATCCAAGGCGGTTGCCTTAAAAATGTTCTTTAGTCTGCTGTGGAGGCTAAGAATGAACTAGACGGGAAGGGGATTCCTGAGTGACGTGTGACTTTGTTCTTTCTGGCTGTGCTACCTTGCCCTGGATAGATTGTTCAAGTCTCCCTTTTCCAGTCTAGGTCAGCTGACATGACTGAATAATGCTCCGATCTGTTTTCCTTCGGCACTTGAATCCTTTCTCTGCTTGGCGTGTGTGCGCTATAGTACCTGGTTGATCTGGTTCACACTGAACTGCCCGTTCCTCACCAAACCTGCTTCTCCGGTGTTCCTTATTTCTGTTGATGTCACACCAAACCTTTCCCGTTTCATCACATCCTGTCCGCAGCCAACATGTGTTCATTCTGCTTCCGTGATCGAACACTGCTGCCTGCTGTTCCTGCCAACCCTGAGCAGCTCTTTATGCACCTCGGGATCAAGGTTTAGGAGACCTATGAAAAGACTGGAGCAGCTTTCTTCCTTTTTCTCCCTTCAGGAGCAGTTTGAACTGGAATTTTCTGTTCCTTGAAACTTTTTTGGATCTTGCCTATGATCCCTTTCAGTCCCACATCATTGGATACTGTTTCAGTTCATTTAGTAGTAACATTTGCTTCATGTAGGTTTGCCATTGTGTAGATTTTATTTTTTTTATATTTTCCCATAAATTTTATTGAGCTATTGCATCTAATGGCACTTCATTTTCACACAGGTTTTTTATTAAAGGTTTCTGCTGTATTCGGTTATTATTACTATTATTTACTTATTTATTCATTTTTTAGTTAAGTCTGAATAATCAGGATTTTATCCTACCTGGGTTAATATTATAATTCATCTTGTCTTCATTTCCCTTTTTTATGTATTTCTACCAGTTATTCTGAAGTCCAGTTTTACTACTTTCTGTTCAGAAGTTTATTTCATGGCATATGTCTTATTCTATTTTTTTTAGAACTTGCCACATATATACATATAGCATATATGTGTATATATATATATTCATATATAGTTTGAAAGTCAGAGGGAAAGAGAGGTTCTGTTTGTTGACTTGCTCCCCAAATTTCTGCCTCATCCACAGCTGGAGTAAGTCAAAATCATGAGCAGGAACTCCATTCCCGTGTCCCACATGGGTGACAGGACTGAAGTACTTGAACCACCACCTGCTCTCTCTTAGCAGGGAGCTGGAGTCCAGGTGTTCCCATCTTGGGTGCAAGTGTTCCAAAACTGCGTCCTAACAGTGCAGCCAACAGCCCCTGGAACACCTTTTTAATGCTGTGATCCCTTTATTTAATATAGGTCAGTCCTTGTTGTCCAACATGGTTCACCTCCTTACCATTGTTAGGGACATGTTGAGTTGCACTGAATTGATGTCAACTGAAAGATGCATCATAGTTTTAAAGATAACTTTTGAAGAGTGTGTGTTTCTCGTTGTAAGAAGCTCTTGGTTGCAAGATGCACTCCAATCTCAGAGATGCTAAAACAGGAAAAATAGGTATGTGTTACTGGTGACTGATCAGAACTCCTTCTTCAGTGTGGATTTTGAGAAGGATGACTTTTAAACTTGTGGGAGTTGACTTAGAGCTCTAATGCTACCATGAGAAGTTAATTTTTAAGAGGATGGTTTTTTTTTAAGATTTAATATTTTAATTGGAAAATCAGATATACAGAGAAAAGGAGAGACACAGAGGGAGATCTTCCATCCACTGATTCACTCCCCAAGTGGCAACAACAGCTGGAGCTGAGTCAGTCTGAAGCCAGGAGCCCAGAGCCTCTTCTGTGTCTCCCACACAGGTGCAGGGTCCCAAGGCTTTGGGCTGTCCTTGACTGCTTTCCCTGGCTACAAGCAGGGAGCCGGATGGGAAGTAGAGCTGTCGGGATTAGAACCAGTGCCCATGTGGGATCCTGCCATGTGCAAGGCGAGGATTTAGCCACTAGGTCGTTGTGCTGAGCCCTGAAAGGCATACCTAGTTTTCAGTGGGAGAGGAGTGACAACGAGAAGGTCATCCGTCTTCTGGTCACAGAGGCCAGAGCTGAGCTGGTTCAGAGCTGGAACCAGGGGTTACTTCTGGAACTCCTATGTGGGACATGCTCTATTGCTCTCCTAGGCGGTAAGTAAGGAGCTGAAAGTGGGCCAGCCGAGACCAGAACCAGCGCCCATATGGGGTGTGGAGGATTAGGCTGTTGAAGCACCACATGGACCCCAGAGTGCCTGTTTGTAAAAATATCTGGAAGACAAATCCACCCCTCCCACCCACGTTGTGTTTTTTGAAGAGACCGCTAACTAGGGGTGAGGAGATGAGGTGTTCCACGGGGTCCGTTGCAGGGGTTCAGTAGGCTCGTTGAACTAAGTTAGTATGGACAGTTAAATGTAGAACTAGCTGATAAACATAGACCTAGCTAGTAAACTTTGAGGAGTTAAGGACACTGTTTTAAGGAACTCTTGTTTTCTCTGCTGTGGAGGCCTTTGTGGTTGCTCCTCTCCCCTTTCTTTTATGGTATGTTTTATTTATTTTAAAGGCAGAGAGCAGGTGAGAGAGAGATCTTATTCTTCCATCTCCTGGTTCATACCCTCAATGGCTGCAGCAGTTAGGGCTGGGCCAGACAAAACCAGGAGCTTTGTGCAGGTCACTCACGTGGGTGGCAGAGGTCCAAAGTCTTGCTTTCCCAGGTGCAGTAGTAGGGAGCTCTGAGGGAAGTGGAACAGCAGGGGCTGTATCTTGGTGCCTTACCTGCTACGCCACATCGCTGGCCCCTGTCGCTGCCCTTCCTACTTTGGTGCTTAGGGTGCACATTGTTTTCTTGGAGATTTGGTACACTGTTAATGTCACAAACAGTGTGTATTGGCTGTTGATTTATTTGTTTATTTTTAAAGATTTATTTATTTTTATTACAAAGAGGAGGAGAAATAGAGAGGAAGACCTTCCGTTTGATGATTTACTCCCCAAGTGACCGCAATGGCCAGTGCTGTGCCGATCCAGAACCAGGAGCCAGGAACCTCCTCCAGGTCTCCCATGCAGGTGCATGGTCCCAAGGTCTTGGGCCATCCTCAACTGCTTTCCCAGGCCACAAGCAGGGAGCTGGATGGGAAGTGGAGCTGCTGGGATTAGAACTGGCGTTCATATGGGATCCCGGTGTTCAAGGCGAGGACTTAAGCCGCTAGGCCACGCTGCGCTGGGCCCTGGCTGTTGATTTATGCAGGGGAAGAGGACAGCTGTCAGGTGTATGCTGAAATGAGCACCTTTTTAGATTTGGGAGACTAGTTATGTAAGAAGGAAGGCTGAAGGCTTGAACCTTTGGGAAGCTCTTCTGCCCTGGCCAGGCCAGGATGGTGGTGTGTGCTTAGGGCCTGAAATGGATAGGACTTGGTAACTGGCTGTGTATGGAAGGGCAGAGGGTTGGTGAGAGATGTCCCAGGTTTCCCTCTGGGTAAGCAAGGCACCTGGTGGTGTTGACTGAGGAAACGTTGGTTGGTTGAGAACAGCACAGCTTTGATTGCATACTGTAGAGGGGTCTCGGAAGCAACTGGCAGAATTCCCCTTGTGTTACTGGGCTGGACTGGAGGTGGGTGTTGGGCAGTGAAGACCTACCAGATAAACTATGTTCCACAGTGGGAGTTGGATGGTGCTCTCAAGTGAGTAGCTTGCAAGGGGAAAGGTCAATTCACGTTAACCTCCAGGAGAAAATACCTCCCTGCCACCACGGCTGGGTCAGTGTTCTCCACTTTTCTAGCTTCATTTTCAGGCCTGTGGTCTCCTGGCAGAGGAAGCTGGCAGGTGACTGCATGTTTCCCTTGGCCTGACCTCTGTGGATCCAGTAGGAGAGCAGAGCCTCTTCAGGTGTATGCACGTATATTTGTATTTGGATAGATGTATTCATTTGAAATACAGAGTTACAGAGGGAGATCTGCTGGATCCACAGATCTGCAGTGACGAGGGCTGGGCCTGGCTGAAGCCAAGAGCATCAAACTCCTGGTCTGCCACGTGGGTGGCTGGGACCCAAAGCCATCTTTTGCTGCATTGCCTGATGCGTTAGCAGGTAGCAGGATTAGAAGTGAACCAGTGCTATGGATGGTGTCTCAGGCGACAGCTTCATTCAGTGCACCACAGGCTGTCCTGTGCCATGTCTGGCTGCCCAGGGGCTGTGTCTTTCAGGAACCGTTCAGGATGGGTAGAGGAAGGATGGCTTTGGGCAGGTTGAACAAGGAAAGTCTTTGTAAGATATAAATAGGTTCTTTTATAAATAGGTCATCATCGGAGAATCTTAAGAATTGTGAAGGGTCTCCAGCAAGGTCATGGAAAATATGTATTGTGGAAAGCACTGTACATGAATTTAAAGTTTTTTCTTTTATCCACCAAAATAAACCTATGTTTTTATTCCATTTTTCCATGAAGCTTTGGAAACACCTGGTACACACATAAACACTTTGGCATGTGGCTTTCATGCTTTGGCCCTTTCAGCAGTAGCAGCTCTGGTGTGTGCAGCAGAGAACCGTAACAGAAGCCCTGAGAAGCACCACTTGGAGGCCTGGTGGAGAAGACGGACATTAAGTAGTTAAACCGTTCCCTAGTTCTGCTGAGACTCATGCCAGGGCAGCCCGGGCAGCCCACTACATGGTGTGGCTAAGGACACTGGCCTACGCCGGGTGCCTAGCCTTGAATTTGTGACTTGTGGCTGAAAAGTCACTGCCAGCCACAGCATCAGTAACAAGGGGAGTGGTCCAGGACCAGTGGTGTTCCTCCTGGGCTCTGCTGTCTTATCTCCTGTTTTCAGCATCAATTTTCTTTTTGTTATTATTCTTGGGGTAAGATTTATCCATTTTAATTTTTTATTGGAAAGGCAAATACACAGAGAGAAGAAATTACAGAGAAAAGATTCTCCATCTGTTGGTTTATTCTCTAAGTGGGTACAACAGCTAGAGTTGAGCTCATCCAGAGCCAGGAACCAGAAGACTCTTCTGGGTCTCCCACGTGGGTGCAGGATCCCAAGGTTTTGGGCCGTCCTCTGCTGCTTTCTCAGGCCGCAAACAGGGAGCTGGATGGGAAGTGGAGAAGCCAGGACATGAACTGGCACCCCTATGGGATCCTGGCATGTGCAAGGTGAGGATTTAGTCCTAGGCCGTTTTGCTGAGCCCCCAGCATTAATTAAGTGTTTGAAGTGTTGTGAGAGTAAATTTTCAGTCATTCCAATTTTGGAACAGACTTGCATAGTTGTGCTGTTTTATGCTTATTAAAATGTGCAGTTTTCTTTCAGTTTTATTTTATTTGAAAGGCAGAGGGACCGAGACCTCTCATCTGTTGGCTGACTCCCCAGATGCCCACAGTAGTTCTGGGTTTGACCAGGTTGGAGCCAGGAGACCTTGGAAACCCAGCCTGGGTATCCCAGGTGGATGGCTATAACCCAAGCATTTCAGCCATGACTGCAACCTTCTGCGGTGTCCGTTAGCAGGAGGTTGGATCAGAAGCAGTACCTGGATTCCAGTCAGGCAGCCTGCTGAGTGTGCTTCAGGAGGCCCTGTGCCAAACAGTACCGACTCTGTTAGTTCTGAGTAGCAGTTAAAATTCTTTGTAATGTATTGCCAGAGTCTAAAATTTAAAATTTGGATTTGATTGAGAATATATCAGATTCCTGGCTAAAATATGATCCTAACAGGACACTGTTAAAATTTTGACGTTTTTAAAGTTTTCAACATGTCTGTATTTTTACAAAGCACAATTTTAAAATGCCTTGAAATAAAGACATCTCAAGAGTAGCTATGCTGCAGAATCTTAAATATGGCCCCAATCAACAAAGTGCAGTCACTTGATGACAGATTTTTTTTTTTCTGTGTCTCTGCATTTCACTGAAGTTCCATATAATAAAAGTATTGGGTAAAATTGTATGTTGAATTTGTGTATCTTAGTGAAGAAAAATGACTACTCTCCTGAAATAATGCTTTAGTCATCATTCCTACTTGTTAAATATTTTTCTCTGGTTTCCTGTTTGCTTACAGTATGAAATCCAGAATCTCTCAGATTGGCCTGCTCTGGCCCAGCCAGCCTTTTCTGCCTCGTTCACTTTCTCCTCTTTTAAAGTCTCCTAAATTACTTAGTTCTGGCTTGAGTTCAGAATCCTTAAGTCCCGACTACTTAGACCTTAGACATGACCACCACTGGGAGCCACTATCAGGTGAGGCTTGAAATATGACTAGTCTTGGTTGCTTCTCTTCGCTTTTCAGCTGAGCTCCAGTGAAGTGAGGCTAGTCCAAACGAAGTGCTGTAAAAGTGTGATTACGTACCAGATTTGAAGACAGCAAAAGGAGAAATGTGCTTTTAAGATATGGCACTACTTAGGATACATGGAATTAAAGAAATATATTCATGAGTGTATTTCACTTGATTATCTTTGAGTGTTTAATGTAATAACCAGAACCTTTAGTAAGAAATGTTCAGCTGGGCAGGGCTGAGTTTGGCTCTTGTGCCCTGGTTCTGTCGATCGTGACGTTAGGACTCCTAGCATGAGCCGGTCCCCTTGGTGCGGCCTCCCTCAGCAGCCCAAGCCTCAGCAGCCCTTCCCTGCAGCATTATTTGAAGGCAGTATTTTGGGGATTTCTTGTACTGTCTGCTAATATATTAGATTTCTTTACCAATAAGCCTTCTTTTTTTTATGTTCGTATGCTTGGTCAAACCTCAGTATAATTTGCTTAACTGGATGCTACAGAAATTACATATTCTTATGGTCGAAACGTAAAACCATACAAGCATGAAGTGGGCAGCAATAACCCCTCCCCTGCTTACTCTGGCCAGCCTTAAAGAGGAAAGGCTCTTCCCTGCCTCTCTTTTCCAGTTCCGTTTTTTTCTTTTCCTTGCCGCCTCCCCCAAAATAGAGTCATCCCGTGTGTCCTTCTCTGTAACTGTTTTCATGGACTGGATGGGGACTCTGTCAGTCCACTTGGTTTTCTGTTCTTTTTGGAAGCACATAGCATCCCATTTCATGTTTTTTTTAATTGACTCCCTCCTAATGAATAACCAGGTTTTTTTTCCTAATCTCTCCTTGCAACGTGCTGGCGAAACAGCTGTATTCAAGTTAGGAAATTTGTTTGCTCTGAGTATTAAAAAAAACCTAAAAAGGTTGGGGCCGGTATTGTGGCAGAGCAAGTAAAGCTGCCCCTCTGTAACGCTGGCATCCTATATAGGTGCCAGTATCTGTCTTGACTGCCCACTTCCGCCCCAGCTTCCTGCTCACCGGCCTGGGAAAGCATCCGAGAATGGCCACGGAGAGACCTGGAGGCTTCGGCGTGTGCCCTTGTGGCCATGCCGGGAATGAACCAGTGGTGGGAAAGTTCTCTGTCTTTTCTCTGTAACACTCTTTCAAATAAATACATTGTTTTTAGAAAGTGGAAATTTTAAGTTCAAGTTCTCTGACTCCCAACTTGTAGGCTACTTCCTTAGTTGCAGAAGTAGAGATGTGTTTGTACATTGGACGTGCTTAGAGTTTGTATATCGTCGTGGTGGCAAGGGCTGCAGACTGTGGTGCTGAGGTGAAAACATTTTGAGCTGAAGGCATTTGAGAATAAGCTCAGCTTCCCCATCTCCTCCAGTCCCTCCAATCTGTGTGTGCCTCAGAGCTGAGTAAAATAATTGCACCGGTTGTCAATGTCCTAGGTTTTTTTTTTTTTTTTTTAAAGATTTGTGTGTTTTTATTTATTATTTGAAAGTCAGAGTTTTGGAGAGAGAAGAATCAGAGATAAGGCTCCTCCATCCTCTG